AGAGAACGAACAAACTAGTTCTACTCGTCCTTACCATTTTCATCTATCGAATGTGAAAAATCGGGTTTTTCAGATTCGATACCTTGTCCTTGCATTAAACGTGATACACCTTGTAGCCAAATATCAAAATTGTAGCTTGATCAGAAACGCGGGAAATATTCTGTCTAAACCATAGAATATGAACATTTTGTCATTTTGTTTTAGTCAAAATATCGAATATGCTGCAAACTGACGAAAATGGAATATTCGATATTTTGTTTTGTATAAATATAACTAAAGGCATATATATGTAGGTACAATGCAAAATGACGAATGTGTCACATTCATTAACTTCAGTGTTGTATTTGATACAGTTATTCAATTAAAATCTGCAAACTATCGAAAATACTAAACATTGCTGACAAGAACAAAACGCACGTGTTCACAATTTGTGAATTATTGCTTCCAAGAAGTTCCTTTGGTGAGGCCACAGCCACCTTTACTTCCAAGCCATGAAGTAGAAATTTGGCAACAACGCGTGGTAGTCCGACTGTGGTTTGTTTTGGTTTAACATTTCATATAGGAAGGCTTGTAAAGTTTGTTGATTTTATTATTTTTTAACTTTATTCGAATGTTTTATTTGTAAATTGTGTTTAAATCAATTCGAAAATATTAATATAAGTGAAATTTCATTAAATTTAGAACTTCTAGAAGATTCTTAACGACAGGCAAGTATAAATATAACCTACAAAACAAACTGAAAATAATAATACTTTTGCTTCTTGTTACAAAATATGTAAACTAAAACCAACAATAATAATACTTTTGTTTTTTGTTACAGATGCTCTGGCATTGTTGTGTACCTGGTTGCAAAACCAATCTCTATTCATAGAGAAGGCTGTACAATTACCAAATCTTCCATAGTATGTGCCAAACTTTTTCATGAAGATGGTATTCAGCGGACTGAACAATGAGAAGATAAAGATGGAAATGTACACATTGAAAAGTTAATATTTCCCAAATTAAAAGGCAATGCAGTTCCTAATATATTTCCTGAAGTACCATCATATGTAACTGTTCATTGTACTAAAGAAAGAAGGAATCCCGAAGACAGAAGAAACTTTTTGCATAAGAAGAGGGAACAAGAGATAACATAATTATGTCAATTAGACTTAGACAATAATATCCAATTGAAAAACTGGACAAGTAAAATTACATGTGACTGTGTATATTTCTATGTATTAAACATTAATCAGTTGGGACACAAGTGTGATAATATTTGTGTAATATGTAGTGTAATAGTTAGCAGTAATTTTAGTGTAATCCTGTAATCGTCAATGTAGGTAAGAATAGATTAAGTGGTAATGATTTGAAATGGATTTTACAATATAGTAAATTAACAAGATGGTCACAATTAGAGAACTTACTTACCCGATTAGATCTGATTTTTAGATAAGTGATAACAAATTTTAGTATTACATTCAAAAATCTTTTGAGAATATAGGCTATTTTAAATCGATATACATGTTATAAATGGTATGTTACATTCAACACCTTTTTCATGTATACCTCTTTTAACTTGGTCTATATGACAACAAACCTATTAATATTTAAAATTGCTACTTTTGTATATCTAAGTATGAAAATTCAACAAAAGTTATAAGTAAATAGTAAAATATTTAATTTTCAATTAGATTAATTTAGAACCATATTCATATTGTGTCTGATTTCTTAGGATGAATTTTTTAATCATAATAGTTACACTAAGTTTTTACTTAGCACAAATTTTATATCTTTTGTATTTTTAATAATCTTTTTAAATGTCGTGTTAAGGTATTGTGTTATTTATATGTTTAAGTACTTAATATTTAAAATTTCTAGAGATTCTTGACTGCATTTGATTGTAAGATTAACTGTTTGACACTGTATTTTAAGTGCAATAAATTTTACTCTAGTGATTATTTTATTGATAATATAACCTAAATAATAATAAAACTTTATATATATTTACTAGGTATATATAAGGTTTTATTAATTTAATTTCCCTAAAAATATTTCTGTAATTATCAGTTTCCTAAAATTCAAATTAGTTTAATATTCTGGTAGACCTTACAGCTGATTATCGGACTACCGACGTCATAGAATGCGGTGTTGCCTTTTTTACTTCATGGCTTGGAAGTAAAGGTGGCTGTAGTGAGGCACTTTATTATTTTGTTTTTTAATGTGTCACATACATTAGTTTCAAAGTTGTAATTGATACAGTTATTCAATTATAATTTGCAAAATGTTAAAAATACTAAACATTGCTGACAAGAACAAAACGCACGTATTCACAATAATTGTGTGAATTATTTCTTCCAAGAAGTTCTTTCGGTGAGGAACTTTATTATTTGGTTTTTATCGGTTTTTCATTATCTGATTATTCAGTTAACTGGGTATAGCTAAACCAAAAACAGTGATGTTGTCAAAGCGAGAATTATTTAAAAAAATATCAAAGAATGCTGCCTTTGGGACGTCGTCCACACAGTGTATATAGTACCAGTATCGGAAAAATGAAAATAACAAACTTTACATGAAGACTAGCATTGACGGAAACTTTTTATCTCTTAAAACCATACAAAAAAGAGGCAAACAAAATAGTATAAACTCTGTTAAGGCATACGACGAAAGACTCCCAATCACGGATGGGAAGAAAAAAAAACCTCTTGTCACTATGTGAACAAAACTTAATACCTAGGCCATACCACCAATATTACCAATCTTTACCAACATCTAATACTGCCAGAGATTGTCTTCCAGAACCTGACGCAACTGAAGACAATGATAACGTTGAATCTAAAATTTAAGACTTTACTTTATTTTATCATTATTTTACTACTGATTACTTGAGGTATCTACAGGGTGAAGTTCCATAATTGTATTGGGATTATTTTTAACTTTTCTATTTACATTAATTTTCGATCAATACGTACTTTCATAAAAATACTTTTAATAATTTTTTTATACATAATTTTCCCATTTTACCCTATAACTTCAATTTTTAATAAATTATTTGTAATAAACTTTGTAAGAACATTATGATTATTTTCATTTTCCTTCTTTTTAATTAAGAATATTAATGTGTTAAAATTAGACCAATATGAACTGTCGAAAATGCCACATTCGCAATTTTGAAACATTGGACCAAAACAAATCGTTGATTAATACAAAAAGCAAAATAACGAATGTGATTTTGTGGAAAGAAGCAAACGGTAAGCAGTTTTATTCTGATATCAATCTAACAAGGATCAAACATTAATTTTTAAAAAAATAAAAAGTTTTCCATTAGTCAAAGCGCTGATTTAGAATTATCTAAAAAAGAGTTATTTTGCTCTCCTGAAAAGTACCACTTTTCGCATTCGATAGTTGGAAATGGTAGGGATGTACTATTCAAAAAAGGAGATAAAAAAACAGCCAGACAACTACAGGGGTATAAACTTGTTGAAAATACGCTAGAACTTACAACTAAAATTTTACGTTTTAATAAACTAGAGGATAAGTTTAGCAGATAAACAACAAGATTTTTGTAGTGGAATATTGTGTACAGATACAATATTTGTTATAAAGCAAATTACTGAGAAATCACTATAGTACAACAGACCAACATTTTTGTGTCTGATTAATCTAAATAAACCGTTTGACATAGTAGGACTCAAAAATGTGAGAAATCTTTTGTATAATAGAGAAGTTTTTCTAAATAATATAAAAACTATCGAAAACATCTAACAAAACAATAACATGGAAATCATAATAGATGGATAACTCACAGAATCTATAGAAATAGGCAGCGTCATAAGATAGGGAGATTTATTGAGCCAAATGCTCTTCAATTTGCTCAAATGAAGTTAATATGACAATCTCATCTCAAAAAACTAAAACAATAATAGTCAGCAAAGAACCAACCAGATGTGAAATAGAAATTGATGGCATCAGTATTCAACAAGTAATGGAAATAAAATACCTGAAAATTACACTGCCTAGCTATGGAGACCTGGACAAAGAAGCGAGAGATCAAGTATAGAAAGCTATATGACATAACAGACACATTAATACTGAGATGAAGTCAAGAGTAAAGCATTTTTAAAGCCAGTGTAAGACAAATAATAACATAATATGCCTCAAAAACAAGACCCGACAGCCACAATGCAAAAGCTACTGGAAATGACAGAGATGTACTGTAAAGAGAGGAACTGTACTGAAAAGAATTATAGAAAATACTCATAGAGATCAAAAGAGAAGTGAAGACGTTAAATGAAAATGTAACTTACAGTCTATAATCGAATGGACACAAAATAAAAAAAAAAGAATGGATTAACCACATAAGCAGAATCATGAAAACCCGTGTCATCAAAATAGCAACAGATAAGCTACCAATCGGCAAAAGAAGTATCAGACCACACAAAAGATGCAGTGACAACCTTCCATAAAAGTATTATTCCGCTTATGAGCAAGCAGAATTGCTTGAAAAGAAAAAGGAAAAGAAGAAGAAGAAGAAGGAATAAGACTGGTACTTACAAATGTTTCAGAAATCTGAACACTCTCTAAAAGTAAGGAATAATTATTATTTGTAAGGAAATTCTTGCGACACATAATATAAAAAGGCACAAAAGGAAATAGAATTTGAAGAAGATACAACTTTAAACTATACAAAAAATACCAAGATCTGGATATCAGAACATTCATTAAAATACAATCATTAAAACACATTAAATTATCAACAGGGCTAGGTTTGATGTGACATGTGGAAATAATGAAAGAAGAAAAATACCAAACAAAATAAGTAAGCAACTGCTGGTAGGAACAACAACAAGAGTAAGATTGAAGCTGAGTTATATAGACCTAGTAGTAGAAAATAACATAGCGATAGTAAAAATAAAAAAATTGTAGAAAAAAAAGAACCATATAGATCACAGTGTAGAAGAAGACCCAAAAAGGGTTGTCGAGCCGATGATAATGGTGATGCTATAAATCATCATTATCATCTATAATGATGCTAGAGATGATGTAAAAAATTTTATATTTATTTTCATTACTGAAAAACATAAAACTTAACTGTTAATTTGTAGGTTATAAATATCTTACCTAATTTTCTGGCATTAGCAGCACATGGAACATATTGGGCAATTTCATCTGATTTAATAACCTTATCGTTCAAATAATATTTCAGTTTTTCCGGTACGATTTCCATAGTTGCGGTCATCTAAAATTTAATATTAAAGAAATAATGTGGTATTAACTATTGGGTATATGAGCATCAAGAAATTATTTATATTGTACAATGGATTTATCCGTCATATAAACATATGTTCCACTAAATACCATATTCTCCGAAAGGATAAGTTTAAAATAAAATATTTTGTGAGAATATAATAGTATATTACTTTATGAGGCGGAGAAGCATGACTTTTCTTGACGCGCCCGATATTACGCGCCGAACGAAGTGAGGCGCGTAATAGAGGGCAAGTCAAGAAAAGTCGCTTCTTTGCCGAATAAAGTATACTATTTTTTCTTCAAACGTAGCAATTTTCAACCATAAATAGTACAATTCATACGCTATTTTTACTTGAAATTAGTGACAACTATCAAAGTCGTCTAGATATTAGAAATTAAAATAATTAATTCGTCGGTGGGATTTGCGTCTCCCTGATTACAGTTGTTTGACAGTTGTTTGCAATTAATAAAGTCCGGAATAAAGTATCGGTTAGCGTACAAGCAAGCAAGCAAGTTCCAGGAGTGGTGCGATACAAGAGGAACACGGCAAGTTACCGAAGACGTTTTACTGGCATATTTTAATATAATGGAAAATGAAAATAAATGGAAATCTTCTACAATGTGGTCACGACACTCTATGATAAAATCCGAGTTAGTTATTAGAAAAAATATGGATATAAGCAAATTTTACTTAAGTTACTTACCTTTCTGAGATAAACAAGCAAAGGATATACTGCAAAGAAGTCTAAAGTTTTCACTAAAGACGAGTTTGGTAAAGTTTTGTTTGAAGCGCCAGATAAGTTGTATTTAGGATTAAAGATAAAAAAAATTATATTGCAAAGCATGCACTGCCGCAATTTCCTTAACCAAGAGAGTTTTTTTCCGTCCTATCCATTTCTTTCCTTCGATTTTACCGTTGAGAATTAGCCGAAGGAACTCATATCTTTGTCCTCTGATTATATGTCCAAGATATTCTAGTTTACGCCTCTTAATAATATTTAATAGAGTTCGTTGATGTCCCATTCTTCGAAGAACTTCTTCGTTTCTGGTTCTGCTAGTCCATGGAATTTTTAGTATCCTTCGATACAACCACATTTTAAACGCCTCGATTTTGGTCATGATATCGGCGTTTAAATTCCAAGTTTCACATCCATACAACAGTACAGACCACACTTAACATCTTGTAAACTTTTCACGGATTTCCAAATTTAATGAGTTATTGGATAATAGAGGCTTGAATTTTTGAAATGAGTTTCTTTCCTGTTCAGTTCTACATCGAATTTCGAAGGATGGATCTAGATTTTGGGTAATCCAACATCCAAGGTATTTGAATCTCTGAACTCTCTGCAGCGGTTGTTGGTTTAATATCAGTTGGGTTGCGCCGATATCCACTTTACTGGTCACCATGTATTCAGTTTTATCGATATTTATCGACAGTCCCGAATTTGTGCATTCCATGTCAACTTTATTGATTAGCTCCGTATGCCTGCAGATCGTCGATGTTTTCAGCTAGAATCACAGTATCGTCGGCGTACCGTATATTGTTAATTATTTCTCCTCCTATGATAATTCCTCTTTGATCTTTTAAAGCTTCCCTAAATAGATTCTCAGAATACACGTTAAAGAGGGTGGGAGATAGTATACAGCCTTATCTTACGCCTCGTTCAATACTGATTGGCTTTGGTTCTCTGTTGTTGGTATGAATAATGACTGTCTGGGTCCAGTAAAGTTTGGCAATAAGTTTGATGTCTTTCTCATCTAGTTGGATGCTCTGCAAGGCGGTAATTAGTCTGGTATGCTGAACGCGATCAAATGCCTTTTTAAAATCAATGAAGCACATATATACGGGTTTTCTTACCTCCCAACATCGTTGAAGGAGTGTTTGCATAGAAAATAGTGCTTCTCTAGTTCCAAGGCATCTCTGGAGCCCGAACTGCTCTTGACTAATTATTTCTTCGCACTTGTTGTTAATTCTGTTTAGAAGAATATGCAACAGTATTTTAACGGCATGGCTCATTAAACTAATGAGTCTACAATCGCTACATTTCTTAACGTTTGGTTTCTTAGGTAGAGGAATAAAGATCGATTTTAACCAGTCCGATGGAATTTCACTGGTATCATATATTTGATTGAAAAGTACTGTGAGTTCTTTTATATTGTCATTTGAGTGTAATTTTAGTCATTCGCTGTATAGTAAAACTACATTAAACTGTATAAAAAGTATGCATCACTGCGGCTTGAAAATTTCACAGAAAACCGATTTTTTATCAAGTAACAACATGGAAAGTGTTACCGAAGCGTCATGGGAATACATTCGATCAGCGCAGTAGCCCAAAAAGTAGCTAGTTATTTAAATTTAAACGATGCAAGCGCATACACAGGTCACTCTTTACGACGAACTTAAGCAACACTTTTAATTGATGGAGGCGGAAATCTAGAATGCCTCAAACGACATGGGGGCTGGAAATCAAGCACGGTTGCCGAAGGATGTATAGAGGATTCAATAAGAAATAAGAACGATAATGCTCAAAAAGTTTTAAACCCTCATGATTCGCCAACATCGGGAAATATTGCTGAAAGTTGTTCTCGACCATCGGTATCATCAACAAATACCAATGAGTATCAAGAGTCGTGACCATTTTTGCACGGTTTCAATTTTTGATAATGCCTTATTAACTAATTGTACTTTTAATATTCATCATCATCATCATCATCAATTAGCCAATCGCGTCCACTGCTGGACATCGGCCTACCTCAGTTCTTTCCAGTGTTCTCTACACTGGGCCGCTTGTAGCCACTTTTAATATTACTATAAATAAAAATGATGTTTAATTGTTGTTAATGACATTTGTATTGTTGCTTTATGACATATTTCATATTGTTGCCATGACAACATTTTTCCCTCCGCCGTAAAGAAATGGGAAAAAAAAACTGCTGCCGGCGAAGACATCAAACTTTGACAGGATCAAGTTAGATAAGTAATGTCATCATTATTTGACGTTTGAAGAAAAAACGTATTTAACAGTTTGCGAAAAACGAATCGAAACCTTCGAGATGTGGCTATACAGAAGGATACTAAAAATATCTTATGTGGACCATGTCACCAACGTTGAGGTCCTACAGCGCATGACAAAAGAAAAAGAAGTGCTTAATTTAATTAAACAACGTAAGCTTGAGTACCTCGGCCACGTGATGCGAAACGAAGAAAACTATCGAATTCTTCAACTCGTTATGCAGGGTAAAGTATTTGGCAGAAGAGGACCGGGACGCCGTCGTATCTCGTAGTTGAAAAATCTCCGACAATGGTTTGGTATGACCTCAGCGGAGCTGTTTCGCAGAGCAGTCAACAAAACCATGATAGTCTTGATAATCGCCAACATCCGGACCGGATAAGGCACTAAAGAAGAAGAAGAAAGTCTGCGTTAGAAATTGAAATTTATAAGAATTTATTATATTCTCACATAATTAGTCTAGAAAAGAAAAGAATTGAATATGAAAATCTGATCTCAGAAAACTAAAACAATAGTAGTCAGCAAAGAAACAACCAGGTGTATAATAGAAATGGATGGCATCATTACTGAACAAGTAATGGAAATAAAATACCTGGAAATTACACTGTCTAGCTATGGAGACCTGGACAAAGAAGTGAGGATCAAGTACAAAAAGCAAATAGACTGATAGTATGCCTTAATAATACTATATGGCGAAACAGACACACTAACAGTGAGATAAAGTCAAGAATTTATAAAACAAGTGTAAGACCAATAATAAAATATGTATCAGAAACAATACCAGACACAGACATAATGCAATGGCTGCTGGCAATGGCAAAGATGACAGTACCGAGAAGAATTACAGGAAATACGCTGAGAGATCGAAAGATAAGTGAAGACATTAGAAGAAAATTTAACATACAGTGTAGAAATAAATGTACACAAAATATAAAAAAAGAACGGAATAACCAAATAAGCAAAATAGAAGACACCTGTGTCCTCAAAATAGCAAGAGATAGGTCATCAATAGGCAGAAGAAGTATCTGATGACCACGCAAAAAAGGAGTGGCAACCTTCGATAGAGATATTATCCGTCAATGAACAAGCAGAATGGCTTATAAAGAGGAAAGAGGAGAAGAAATAATAAGTCTATTAATTAACAGACCTAGACTAGGGTGAAATACGCTGGAATCTTATCGCATCAACCTACAAATGAATAGTACAGCGAGTCTGAGGACTTGTCCTCGGATACGCCGATAGCATATTCCACTACTGCTTAACAGGATGGTGATGATAATGATGATCAACAGATTTATCTTCTGTAGCAAATAGAAAAGTTTTTCAGTAACTTAATGTAAAAAATTATAGATATTCAACATAAACACTGTTGTATCTTGTAATTAAAGAAAAAGCAAGACAACAAAACAATATTTTAGCCATAGAGCTTGTACTTCCTCTATGTAGAAAATTTAATTGTCATAGATAACAGGGATAATACAAAATTAAGGTCTGGGAGTACTCTTTTCTTGCTACTGAGGCCTTTGATTATAGTATCGTATGAATAGAGTAACTAGATGGTTAAGTTCAGATTGGGACTCAGTTGCGTGTACCGAATAATGGCGCCGGAATAGAAGAAGATTTTGAGTTTGACGTTAATGGTAGCACTGATTACCGCGGCTTTAAGGCGTTATAAAAAAGCACAGTAGTATTTGACGGTTGAAATGCAAGGGGAAACTACCCAACTAATACTTCTCCTCCTTCTTGCATTGCCTATCTGTTACGGATGTTAACTATCAGCATGGCTTTTTTTACTTTAGGGACAGCTACTCTATTACAAGTTCTGTAGTCGTCCAGCTGTACCAATCTTGGAGATTGCGCAGTCATGATATCCTACGCCTTCCTGGGTGTTTCTTGTCGTGAACCTTACCATACAGAATTATTTGTAGTAAACTGTACTGATGTTTACTAGGCATTACGTAGCTCATATATTCCAGTT